ATTTAGTTAATGTGAATGATGATTCCTTGTTTTAAAGCCAGCAATTTGAAAAGAGCAGGATCTGGTTACATAATTACTCTGAGCTCCTTCTCGTCCCGTTCTTTTTGCGAAATTCAAAAAATAACAATCACAAAAGATTTAAAAAAAACCTAACCAACTCCTGTGCAGCTTCATGAATGGAACGCTTACACAGTTCAATATCCAGCTCCCAATTCACTAACTGTTGAAGGGAAGGACAACGATCACGTTTTCAAATATTTTACTTGAGACTATTAGCCCGGTTACTGCTATATTTATCACTTACATAACTATCACATTTGCATATAATGACTTTTCTTTACCACGATTCAATGCCAATTCGCAAACAACAACAGCGTGAAACAGAAGCTAAACGATGATTTTCCATCAGTGTTTAGTGGATGAAAAACCACAAGAATGACCCCCCCCAAGCAGCTTCTTTCCGCTGTGTCTCCCTCAGCAGGGCCACACACAGCCCGAGAAAGGCCTCTCTCTTCCCCCACCCCAGGCCGCTCACTCCAAGTTCCGGAACCAGTTCCTGCTCCGCTCGGCCTCTGACAAACAGCCCCCGGTTCTCCCTGAACTGAGCCCGAATCAATGCCGCTGTCGGAACCCCCCTCTGTGTCCCAGACTCACATCTCGATGTGCTGCTGGAAGGAGCATGCTGCACCCGCGCTTCCCTGGGCGCTGGTCTCTCCATTGCGGTCTGTTTCAAACAAACCTCTTCCACTCACTGAGTAAATGCTCGTCAATGGCAGCGCTGGGGAAGGGCTTCACGCATGCGCTCCTCCAGACAGCCAGCAGCAGCATAGGGGGCGGGGCCAGCCTCGCGCATGCGCTATTTTTCCAAATAATTCCGAAACAAACATCAATTGACCATTTCCCCAATTCACTTTTCTCCCAGTTTGAGCAAAGCAACTGGGGGCTGTGGGGGAAAGGACAGAGAACGTTTGCATATAATGACTTTTCTTTACCACGATTCAATGCCAATTCGCAAAAAACAGAGTGAAACAGAAGCTGAACGATGAATTTCGATCGTTTCCCGGATCATGTTAATAACTGCCTCCTTCCGGCTCTTTCACAAGCTGATGGGGAAGTAGAGAAGCTGATGGCCATTCAGCCCGTTAGATGTGCTCCACAATTCAAAACATCACGTCTGATCTTATGTAAGCTGTAGTATTGCATTGTGCTGACCTTCGTCCCCATATATTAACACTGTCAAAGTAACATACAGAGCGATGAAATAAATGGGACATTCTGATGAAGGCAGAATATAACTGTTGGAGGGAGTCTTGCGGCGCAGTGGTAGTGTCCCTATTTCTGGGTCAGGAGGACCGTGCTGAAGTCACACCCGGACCAGAGGTGTGTCATAACATCTCTGGACTTGATGCAAATAACAGTTTGGAGTAGATGACTGATTTTATTCTCGATATGCTGCTGACAGAAACCTTGTGATGAACAAGGTACCGCAAAGAACGACTTCAGATATTTTTGTTACTTACTCCTGGGAGATGGATATCGCTGGCTGGGCCCAG